CTTCTATTCTGCCAATTTAGGCAATCTAAAGTACTTTTGCAATTACTCATAATTTAAAAATCCAGTTGACAATAAAAGGATCCAAAGTTTTCATATTCCTATTTGCCTATGATTTTTTTTTTTTAAAAAAGGAGTCCTCTGCTGTTTTCAAACTAGGGTTTTCCTGGAGCATCAGCTTCTCATGGAAATAAGGGTCAAAAATTATACAACTGTCTCAGCATCCTCCAGATGCGCTTTGCAGCTTTTAATGCAGGAAATATAATAGCTGGATACAAGTTCCTAATAGAAGGAGTGGGAAAATCAGGCCAGGGGTAGGAAGGCATGAAATTGCAAATGTTGTTATTCCCAAAGTCTCTTGGTTCATTCCACCCATGGCGGTCATGGAGATGTGGGTGGCATCTCATCATTTTTCTTCAATAACTCATTTCCAAAACATTTAGAGATCATGTACTGCATATGGATGTTGGCTTCAGAAGTAACATCATACTGGAGTTGGTAAAGTGCTTTGGATCTTGCTCAAGCACATCGCTTCTCTACTACTAATTGAATCAGCCAAATTCTTTTTTCTGTGAGAGCCTGAAAAAAATGCAGCGGCTTGAAGGAATCTACTCATTAAAGTTAATGCATGTTTTACCGCAGCAGGAGGTTTTCTTGAATTGCATAGATTTGTATTTCGATTTTTTAATGATGTTTTAATACTTGGTGCTGCCTAGAGTCATTTATTTTGGTGGCCTTCTAAATCCAATGTGATGCCGATGTTATTGAAATGCAGTATTCCTCCAAGGTTTCAATTACTTCTGAAATATTTGCAAAGCATATAAAGCCTTTGTATTTACTTGTGGATCGAAATTCTTCGACTCATAAGTTATTTCCTTTTGAGTGGCCCCCTTTTTATTGAAGATATTAATTACTTCCAATATGTTTAATTTGACAACATTGCTAAACACACCAGGTTTTTTTATCTGTTCAGACTTTACCTCTGTAAAGTCTCTAAACTGCTTATCTTTTCACTGCTTTCAATATACCGTATATAGTGTAATATAATCTCTTAGTATCTCCAGCTCTTTATGATTCCTGAAGCTTCCATATTGTTGTATTTATTTGCTAATCTTTTTTCCCTTCTAGCATCTTTATCCAATTTCCACTGAAGTTGGTATGCCTGGTTTTGAGCTGTCACACTCTAGAGATTGATCCCAAAATACACTTTCCAAACAGAAAGCCCATCAGACAGAGATCAGGATTGAATTAATGCTGCACTGTGATGGTGATTTTTTTTTTTTCATAGAGAAAAACAAGAAGTTCTCCCTGCAAAAGCCAAGCATAAATATTGCACTTTAGAAAGAACTAGACTGGAAATTCAGAAAAGCTAATAGGTTCTTAGGTCTTTTCCTATAACGCATGTAAGGTGCAATTGAATCTTGCATCCAGCTGTAATTATTCAGTATCATCTTATTCAGCCTGCTTTGGAATTGTCAAACTACTGATGCAGGTGAGAAAACATTTATATACTAATGTGTCATAGAAGCTCTTCTTTCTTGTTTGTAACTTACAGCAAAAGGAGGGTCAGTTCAGCATGTTGCAGCTGGTTGGCATGCTGCGGGGCATAGCAGCTGGAATGCGTTATCTCTCAGATATGAATTATGTTCACCGGGATTTAGCTGCCCGTAATATCCTGGTCAACAGCAACTTGGTTTGCAAAGTGTCAGATTTTGGCTTGTCAAGATTCTTAGAAGATGATGCTTCAAACCCAACCTACACTGGGGCCTTGGTAAGTTCTTATATGAGAAAATACTTTTTCACAAATCTCTAATAATCAGGCAGGATTCTGTGTTTGTACTGTGTTATATTTCATGTTGTCTTATTTTAATTTATCAAATTTATTTGCCACCCGTCTCGTGGTTCAGGGGACTCTGAGCAGAGCATCTCTGAGTCTCTCTACTAAAGTTATCAGTCATCTAAATAAAGTAAAAAATATGATTTGTTTCTCTTTATACTGAGGAATTAGGTACAGTTTAATGGCATTTACTTTTTTAATTTATACCTTAATTATTTTTATAAAAATTCAAGACAGCAAATATAGCCTTTCTTTTGATTGTCGCAACTGCCATTGTTTTGGAATGCACTCTGTAAGAATTTCAGTTCTACTACTAGGACTCTCTTTCTGCTCTATTAGCTTATTTTTTTAAAATCTAAGAACTGACTTGATACCAGAGGACCTGTTTTGAACTGAGAGCTGTCTGATGCATACTGCTCTTCTTTTCCTTTACAACTATAGGGTGGCAAGATTCCCATTCGTTGGACAGCTCCAGAGGCTATCCAGTACCGCAAATTTACATCCTCAAGTGATGTCTGGAGCTATGGCATTGTAATGTGGGAAGTCATGTCCTACGGAGAGAGGCCCTACTGGGACATGTCCAATCAGGATGTAAGTTTTAATGTGGTCCAAACACTAGAAGTACATGCTTTGAACTAGATATTTACTTTTTGGATAGCATTCATATATATGCCACTGGGAGCATGTCCTTATGCTTTTCTTCCTTTGTTGTAGGTAATCAATGCTATCGACCAGGATTACCGTCTTCCACCACCTCCAGACTGCCCTACTGTTTTGCACCTGCTGATGTTGGATTGTTGGCAGAAAGAACGGGTCCAGAGGCCCAAATTTGAGCAGATAGTCAATGCCCTGGACAAGATGATTCGCAAACCATCCGCTCTCAAAGCAACTGGCACAGGAAATAGCAGGTAGGAAGGGAGCATCAGGGAAGTGGTTAATCCACAAATTGGAGGGAATGATAGAAGAGCTGTGTTTTGAAATTTAGAAATCAAGCACACCTTCTAGGTCCGGGATGGCGAACCTATGGCACGTGTGCCACAGGTGGCATGCGGAGCCATTTCTCAGGGCACGAGAGGTGTTGGCCAGTGTGCATGTGCGCGCTGGCCAGCTGAGTTCAGCCTTTTTAAAAGCCATTTTTCGCCCGCCCTGCTAAGTCCTCAACGTACGACCAGCCGCAAGTCCTCGACTTACGATTGCCGGCAACAGCTCAGCCACACCTGATTAGCTAAGGTGTGGCTGGCTGAGCGCGGGCTGCCCTAAGCACTCTTATTGGTCGCCCTGCTTGACAGCTCTCATATAAATAGCTGTCAAGCAGGGCTAGGTGCTGAATTTGCTGTACATAGTTATCTATTGCTGTTGTTCAATAAATCGCTGTTTGCTTACCTCATCCGCCTCACACCTCATCTGTTCCTTCAAACCTAACACTCCCCAGGCTCCAGAGGCTTTATAGGAGCCTGGGGAGGGTGAAAAGAGCCCTTCCCCGAGGCTTCAGGAGCTTCCCTGAAGCCTCCAGAGTGCAAAAAATCGACCCTGTGGGCAAACTGGAAGTTCGGGAACGGACTTCCAGTTTGCTCATAGGGTCGGTTTAAGCCCTCCGGAGGCTTCAGGGACTTTCAGGAGGTTCCCCTGAAGCCTCCGGAGGGCTTAAACCGATCCTACGAGCAAACCGGAAGTCACTTTCGGTTTGCTCATAGGGTCCTTTTTAGTCTTCTGGAGGCCTCCTGAAGGTCCCTCAAGCCTCTGAAGGGCCTCCGGGAGGGGCGGGGGAGACTCTTTTTGCCCTCCCCAGGCTCCTATAAAGCCTCTGGAGCCTGGGNCTTTAACCTTAAACTGTCTATCGTGGACCCAATCCCATTCCTGAGAGGCCTGTAAGGGGGTGTGCATAAGCGCACCAGCGTGCCTTCCATCCTTGTCCTACTGTTCCCATTTATTTGTATTCATTTCTTATGTATATACTTATACCTGCTTATACTTATATGTTTATATGTTATATTCATACTTATACTTGTTTTCTCATACATGCTTGACAAACCAAATAAAATAAAAATAAATAAATAAAAATAAAAGAATTCTGTGTCGAAGTTCAAAACTTTGGAGTTTGTCAAAATCTGTGTCAAAGACAAAAGAGGGAATTGTGTTGCCTGATTTGAACCTGGGCATTATAGTAACCTTACCAATGAAACGAACTCCAGAAAGTGATGAAATGCTTGGTTCTCAAAGCAGCAGGACCCAAAGCCTTATTTCCCTCTGCATTTAAATTATGCAAGGACCAGTTCCTTCTCTGGCTGATGTGGTGTCTTTTCCATCCATTACTCCTGGCAGGAGAATTTGGAGAGGTGTGTTTTGGCCGCCTGAAGCCTCCAGGGAAGCGTGAATACATGGTGGCTATTAAAACCCTGAAGGCCGGTTACACCGATGAGCAGCGGCGGGAGTTCCTAAGTGAGGCCAGCATCATGGGACAGTTTGAGCACCCAAATGTCATTCGCCTTGAAGGTGTGGTCACCAAGAGCCGTCCCGTCATGATTGTCACCGAATTCATGGAGAATGGTTCTCTGGATTCCTTCCTCCGGGTATGACCATCTCAGTTCCCCACTTTCCTTGCCTGCTTCACTTCCCCTCTTTCATTTTACATCTACTATATTTATTACTATTCATGTATTTAAGTTACTTTTGAGCATTTGTAAGGAATGCATCTGTAGGGCTGATATACACGTGAATAGTAATAATAATAATTATTATACTTTATAAGTGGATAAAAATCCCATAATCCAGTCTGAGCATGTGGGTGACTATATGCCCAACTCTAATAATATATTATCCAGACTTTTTGTTTTTCTTATCAACAGTTGTTAACTGTGATGTGTTGTGTGGCAGATGCTTCTCTGTTTGAATGTTAAAGTCCCAGAGCACTTTAGCGTCTTCATTTTGTCGTCCTACTAGTTCTTGTATTGTAATACCTGGAGAGAACTAATAGAATAAAAAGAAAAATCACAAAATATAAAGACCTCCAAATAGAAGTAGAATGACAGTGGCAAGAGAAAGCAAAGATAGCACCAGTACAATTAGGCACCTTGGGTGCAATTGCAAAACATCTGGAGCCCCACCTGAATACCACCAATATTGATAAAATCATCAACAGTCAATTGCAAAAGGCAGCTTTACCTGGAATAGCTTACATCCTAAAATGATACTTTTATACCATCAAAATGACAACACCTGCCCTATCCCAGGTCCTTCAGAAAGACTTAATAGGTAGACAGAAATGACAATTCCAGTCTAAACATGTGTCTGACTGTACAACCAACTATAATATATTAAACTTGTATGCTGCTCTCAATGGTTCTGGGTAGCTCACAATAATTTAAACAAAGAAATTACAAATCAGCAAAACACGAAGCATACAAAGCCCTTCCCTGGAAAGAAGCAGGAAATATCAGTTGAAGGAATGTGATTCAATCATAACCAAGAGATATTTCTCAACCAATCAATAGCTATAATTGAAAAAAGGGGACCTATTTTTATAGAGGAGCAGAGCATTGGTGTCTTCTAGGCTGTGGTGGGAGTATGAAAACAGGAAGTCATAGGTTAATGACAGTGGCATGGTATACTCAAGTGATAGGAAGAATCAGAGATTGGTTTGGGTGAAAATGGTTCAATGTGCTTGAAAGAATATGATAAGGAGGGAAATTACAGTGCAGTACAGAAAAGTGGCTGGATTCTTCAGAGCCTCAAAACAGAGATGGTGATGGGTGAGAATCTGCTTTGAAAAAGTTCTCTTTATTTGGAATATGTGTTTAGGCATATGTTCAGTTTAAAATAAATTATGCTGTAAGAAATGTTGAAAAATGGTAGGGCTACAAAATTGTAGATAGTTTACCTGAAGAAATGTTAAAATTGAGATGTGATTTGCTTGTGAAGTGGCTGAATGATTTGTGTAAAGCAGATGTGAAGGCTGCATCTCTACTTGACATTTGAAAGAGTGCTGATATGAGTTCCCTATGCGAAGGGAATGGAAACAAGAGTGAATGTACAAATTATATTGGGTTTGAGTTGTTAAATATGCCTGGCAAGGTGTTGGCAGAATTCTAATGAAGGGCTAGGAGAGGTAAAATTTGCAGCTTTAAGTTTGGAAGGGAGACCAGATATTTGCTCTTTAGCAAGTCATTGAGAAATATATGAATGTGAATATGTTTATTGTATGTTTGGTTATGAAGAGAAATGATAAATGAAATTTTGAGACATTTCTATGAGGCTGCAGTTGAAGGTTGTTGCTGAATATGATAAGGGGCAGTATATAATGGAAGCATTATGTACTGTCCTTGGAAGCATGGTAGGCTTCAGCACTAAGCAGGGAATAAAACAAAAAATGTACCATATTTCCGTCTTTGCATAATATATTTATGGATATGCTTATGGTATTGGATCATTGGAGAGGTGTTGGTTGAGGATGTAAACACTTATAGGCTTTTGTATGAAGTTTATGTTTGGTTATATATTTATGCTATGTTATGATAAGATAAAATTACTTGCTGTAAATGTTAAGAGTCTCTCCTTGCGGTACCATGTATTGTGATTGTACCAAATGATTGTGTTTGACAAGGAAGGATGGAGTGTTTTAGGTTATACACAAATGGCAAAAACCTAGAAGAAGCAGATGAATTCTGTATATAAAATATTGTACTTACTAAATATGGGGAATTGAAAGGAGAAATTTGAAAAAAGACAATGGGTGGTATATATTGGAAGGAATGTTTCTCTCCAAAAGTAAAAATGATTATGTATAATCATTCTTTTCCTTTGTTATATGAAAATGAGAGTTGGTAATGTCAGAAGATAATAAAAGTAACTTGAATGCAGTGGAGATATAGTTAGGGACTAGAGCGAACCGAAGCTGAAATGCACATGGATTGAATACAAAAGCAAGTGACAAATATGAAATGAGTGCGTAGGTGTGTTTATATGAAGAGAATGAATGAGGATCAAATTGAAAAAGAAAAAAAAAGAAAGGAAGACTGAATGGGTCAAGAGGCAGAACGAGAAATCACGACTGGATGGAGTATTGCAGTCACCCCAAACAAAGAGGCAAGAATTTTAAAACACAAAAGGCAACATACAAAGCAATGATTCACTGCTGTAAAATCAACCATGGTTGGCAAGGTTGGCATGGTATGGAGAAATACATATGAATGAATGATTTTGTTATAATCTAGATTTAGTTTATTTTTCTTTCTTTCCTTGTTCAATGGATTTAATTTCATTGACTTATTTTTCTTATTCCTTTTCTGCACTTTGCATAATATTGCTTACTCTGAAAAGGGATGGTGTGATATGTATACAGACCTGTACTCTGGAGTTCATATGCAAGCACAAAAGATATAATCTTCTATACATTCTGGTGAATATATTCATTTAAAAATGAACATATGCTTCTAAAGAAACTGAACTCAATTTTCTATGCTTGCATCTGTTGCGGCATTTTTATAGTTTTAAATTTTACTTTAATATTGGTAGGATCATTAACAAAAACTCAGAAATCAGAGGAATTGTTGAATAAGATTTCCAGATGTAGGGAAAGACGAAGCCAATGTCTTACAATATTAAATATTCAACAATGCATAGTAAGCATTCATAATGTGTTACCTTATTAAATTAATTAAGAATTATACAAAACAAACTTATCGAAATCATAGACAATGAATAACATAATAATTTGTTGTTTATCTGCAGTTTCAAAACAGAATAAATTAAGATGATTATATGCATCCCTAATCATACTCTAATTTACAAATTGGTTTTTTATCATAATAAATTATCCCAAATGTTTCTTAGACATTCATCCAGCAGTGGATGAATTATTATTGCTTAAGTGTTTTGTTCTCTTTGATATAGTTGCCACAACAAGATCAAAATAAATGTTTTTCCTCTTGGGATCAAGCATATAAAGATATGCATGCACACACAGTCCCAGATACCAAGTTAGTTATTTGTTCCATCAACTTAAAAGGCACTACACAATGAGCAATTTTCTTGAGATCCAAACCAAAAAAGCATATTAGCATCTATTATCTTTGTTGTTATCCTTTTTGCATGTCACTAAAGAATCTGCTCAGATTCCTAATCTCTGTATGAGGTGCGCCCATACTACAGTTTTTACAATATCATTTAAGTTTGAGTACTGTGATACACATATTTTTAACATTTATTAATATTCCCAAATTCTAATGTGTTTTAGAAGTATGAATGTATTTGGAGGCTGTTAGGGTCTGGATGGGAACGAACAAGCTTGCGCTCAATCCCGACAAGACTGAATGGCTATTG